TTTGCCCCACCCTTTATGTTAGTTATATATATATTTATATGTATATATGAATCAGCACTGCCACCAATGAGGCTGTTTTGATGAAAGCAAATTATGAAATCAAGAGTTATAGGTAATAACTGTAATCTTACTTCCATCACAGCAGACAATTTGTTTCTGTGTTTTATTTTGCCTGCACAAGGTGCAGAAAATCCTCATGTAAACAGATAAGTATTTCAAATAGCTAACAATTTGTTATGGTACTTATAATCTCATGATTTTCTTCAATTAAAATAATTCAGAAGTTTTAAGGAACAGCAGGAATTTTTGTTTCAAAATAGAATCACTAACAATATCTAACAACTACTCATGTTCCTTAATAATTAAGGATTAGTTGTTAAGTATTCAATTTTGGGAGATTTGACAAATAGACTTCGTAAATAATTTGAATCCTGACTCCCTTACTTATTTCATAACCTTAGGCAGATAGCTAAATCTTAGTCTTACTTTCCTCAAGTGTCAAGTGGTTATAAAAACTGCATCTATTTTATAGGTGTAGGGGTAAATAAGATAGTGTACATAAAGCACCTAGCATAGTGTCTGGCACTCTTAATAAATGCCATTAATGCCCTGGCCGATGTGGCTCAGTTGGTTGGGCATCGTTCCATGCACCAAAAGGTTGCCAGTTCTATTCCCGGTCAGGGAACATGTCCAGGTTGTGGGTTTGATCCCTGGTTGGGGAGCATACAGGAGGGAAACAATGTTTCTCTCACATCAATGTTTCTCTCTCTCCCTCTGCCTTCCTCTCTCTATAAAAATCTATAAAAACATATTTAAAAAAAATAAAATATTATTGAAGAGTTGAATGATCAAAACTACTTTTCAAATGTGTCTTGTAACATTTTAATATGCTCCATCATGTCCCATTTAAATTCTTTTCGGATATCTCAGCACTTTTCTCTTTCAGATATGCAGTTTCAAAACAACCTATTTTATTTTGTCTGGTGAGTCCATATTTTAAGATGATGCTTTATTACTGGTCTTTTATCTGCAGTCATAAAGTAACATTGCAATCTTGTGATGCCAAGTGAAGATTGTACAGGCACTCACCCATTTAATTTAAAATGTAAATCTAAGTCAAATTTTCTGTAGATCTTTTAAGTATTCAGGTAAGAGCCAACCCAAACCTAAAGTGAGCAATGAAATAATCTATAGTGCTGTATTATCATGATGCAACATGCAGTATTGTAACTGTACAACTGACTGCTATGTTGTCCCAAATGTGTGCACCAGAGAACTTGCCTGTCTTTTAATGAATACCAGCACATTCATTGAATGCTTACTAGAGACTAGGCACTGCTTTAAGACCTTGACATGTATTAGCTCATTTAATCTTCACTTAATCATTTGAATGATTATTATAGTTTACTAGAGGCCCAGTGCACAAAAATTTGTGCACTCGGGAGGGTCCCTCAGCCCAGCCTATGCCCTCTCACAGTCTGGGACCCCTCGGGGGATGTCCACCTGCTGGCTTAGGCCCGCTCCCCGGGGGACCAGGCCTAAGCTGGCAGTCAGACATCCCTCTGGCAGCCCAGGAGCCCTCAGAGGATGTCCACTTGCCAGCAGGGAGCAGGCCTAAGCTGCAGTTGGACATTCTTAATGCTGCTGAGGAGGCAGGAGAGGCTCCTGCCACCACCACTGTGCTGGCAGCCATCAGCCTGGCTTGTGGCTGAGCAGAGCTCCCCCTGTGGGAGCTCACTTACCACCAGGAGGCAGCTCCAGCATTGAGCGTCTGCCCCCTGGTGGTTAGTGTGTGTCATAGTGACCAGTCATTCCCAGTCGTTCTGCTATTAGGGTCAATTTGCATATTACCCTTTTATTATATAGGATATGAGAAGATAACTGATTTTCAAAATATGACTAGTACAGAGATGCATCCTATCTCATAAAAGTACCTTTACAAAAGTTCAAATGTACATGTGCATGAACACAAATGCACCCATGCACATGCATGTGTCCATGTGCTCACAGAGTGAACTTGAGAGCACCAATTAAGATGGTATCTAACTTAAGTATGTATGTATTGTTCTTTATTACACTTTATTTAAAATATGTTTTTATTGATTTTAGAGAGAGAGGAAGAGAGAGAGAGAGAGAGAGAGAGAGAGAGAAACATTGATAATCTGCCTCCTGTACATACCCTACTGGGGATCGCACCTGAAACCTGGGCATGTTACCCTGACCAGGAATGGAACCAGCAACCTCTTGGTGCATGGGAGGATACTCATCCACTGAGCCATCCCTGTCAGGCATACCTTAAAATATTTATCAAAAAATGAATATGAATTAAATGCTTATAACCTTCCTGAAATGCCTTGGAGTTCTCTATAACAATTTGAAAACCAGTGTTAAACCCATCACTCATTTACACTGGAGTGTGAAAGGAGCCAAATCAGATCCTTTTCTCAACACACAGGGTTTTAGAACAAGGGGGGGAGGAAGTATGAGCTTTTTAATTTTAATTCCTTTTTCAGAAAGGCAGAAACCTTATTAGGCAACTATCATGTGCCTGCAGTGTTAATATATTATCTGTAACCCCCGTAACACCCTTGCCTAGTAGCCACCATGACCCTGACTTTATAGAAGAGGGAACTGAGGACCCGAGATATTAATTTGCTGACCTAGAGGCACACACCTGGAAACTGGCAGGTAGGTCCCACACTCTGATCTATTCGACTCCAAATCCTTCCCGCCACACCAGACTGCCTCCTATCTGGCCTGCCCATTTTACAAATGAGGACAAGAAGAATGAACACGGTAGGTAACTTGTTCCAGAAACAGCTAGTTAGTGGCAAGGCTGAACCAGAATTCAGGAGCAGGGGTTTCATTAGGTAAGCTCCCTCAGACGGCCCAGTGGGAGGATGCTCTGTGCAACCATGGCTACGGGGGGCCAGAAAATCGTCACTTCACTTCTAGGCTGGAAGGCACCTCAGTATATACTCCTTCTCTCTCCCAACCCCTACAATAATGTAAGTTTTAGACGACTGTCTAAAACATGGCACAGTATGACATGTGAAAACTGCCAAGAGTCATAACTAATATTTATGGCACTTACTGGTGCCAGAACCTTTGAATCATCTCATTTAAATCTCAGTGCAATCCTATGAGATAGCCTGATTATGAACATTTCACACCTGAGGAAAGGGAGGTTGTTTCTGGGAGGCACCAGTCTAGTAAGAATTCACACCGGGCATTCTGACCCAGAACCACTGTTCCCAGAGCTAAAAATATTTGCCGTTCAGCATAGGGTTGGCTTGGGTGTGAAGGCAGGATCTTAGCACAGAAATTCAAGATACACAGCATTCTCGAGAAGTCAGAGAAGTCACTACAACCAGATTTCCTGTGAACATTATCTGATGAGGGTATAGCCTCTAATTGCCTCTCTTCACTCCCAGAGCAATGGGCTTGGGTGAGAAAGCCTGACACCAGCCAATGACAACTGTCATATCACTGTCTTCAGCTTTCCCAGAACTCCAAACCAATGCAGAACTAAAATTCTAAAATGCAGCAACTTGCAAAGGCAATACACCACCACTGCCGCCAGCACCACTACTACTGCAGGTGTGGAGTACATTTCAGAGGCTGCGGGCCAAGAGCAGAAGTCATTGTTTCTTCAAGAATCTCTCTAAGCAGCCCGGAGGAGAGCTCTCTTTCAGTGATAGAAGTGGCCATCACAGTCCGAGGAATGACTGTGTCATAAATAGGATATGGCATTTTTGAATGTCTTTAAAGCTATTTCCTTTTGTTCAACTAATTTAATTTACCAAATGCTCCTGGGAAAAGGGAGGGGGGCCAAAATGCTGACTCCACATTTCCTGAAAAATCAACATTTTCTTTTTAAACTGCTCTCAACGAGATTACATCTGATCGTCGTCTGCTGGCTCCCTTAAACCCTGCCTCTGTCAAAATTCTGCCCCGGCAGGTGTGAGAAAGAATAGAAGCCGAACTTGAGCGAATACCCACATCTGTTTTTGGAAAAAGGGAACAGAAGCAGCACAGAAGGAAGTGAAAGAGATAATTGCTGGCTTGAACTGCAATACATTTTACTTGTGGGCAGAGGGCCAGCTTACAGCAGGCGGAATATGCAGGCCCATCTTATTGGAATTCAGGGGTGGGCCTCCGTTCTTGTCCGGAGACAGCTGTAAACCAGCAGCCCATAGCATCCCAATCAGGCGGCGAGTTTTGTCAAGGAGTGCTGATATGTACAGAAGCAGCTTTGTCTGCTTCCACCGCACCCCTGCCTAGTGAAATGACAGTCCATCTCTGATTCCAGATGACAAGAACTGGATAAAAACTTAAAACAAATGGCGACCTTTCAAAAGATTAATTTGTTTACCAACAAAATGTTCCCTCTATGTCATCTGAGATGGGGGTGACCTTCACTTTCCCATATCTAGGCTGAAAGGATGCTGACTATAGTCATCTGTTAAGTTAACTCCATCTCAGCAATTATTCCCTTTTTTATTCTTAGTGACAAGAAGGGTTTATTAATTCACTCTGCTTCTTGTTATGGTTTATAAATGCAACAAGCTCATTCTGAATTACTGCAGTGTAACATCAATTTGTTTAAATCTAATTCTGCTATCGTTGCCAAATTATGTTGTGACTGTAATTGTGGCCATATGCATGGGCTTAAAACACAATCATGTTTTGAAATAGCCCTTCTTTCCCACCCCCCTCCTCCTTGCCCCCGCCCCTTCTGATGCTTCTTCTAATCATTTGACATTAACACAATTGCCTCACTTTCCATTACTTTATCATTTCAGAAATGAATGTGCTTTCGGCGAGAGAGATTACAATGTACACCCCACGTGAAACAGTAAAGAATGAAACTATGATTTGTGAAGTGTGGTTGCTACCCAACTAAGTTAGTGAAAAACACTGCATAACATATGACTCATAAAATCTAGAAATCATAATAGTATTAAATTCAACCTCATGAATAAATAAAAGATTCTAAGTTTACATTGCATTATATATTTATTTATTTGGAAAGTGGGACCAAAGAACTAGTATAATTCTACAGCAACTCACATCTTGCCAAAAAGAAAAATGTTTTTACGATTCTTTTCTAGGTCATAACAGTTATAATCAGAGTTATTTGCGCAGCAATTCAAAGCAATGTTTTGTTTGGCTATTTTGTTATGCATTCATAATCGTTCTTTTAAAATTCATGTTAACAGATCCATGTTTCAAATCTTTTAAGAAACCCTTTTTATTTTAAAAAGTAAATCTAAGTCAAATTTTCTGTAGATCTTTTAATGGGTTGCATGGGACTGTCTGGCTGGAACTAAATGTCAGTCAGTACAAACAGTTTCAGAGGTTCCTTCTGGTCTCCCCATGTCTACAAGGCCCTTCTCACAAACCTGCCAGAGGGTTTGCCACCATCGTTATTATTATTACGCACATTTAAGGTATTGGAAAAATCATCAGTAAGTTTCACTTTTAATATTTTGTTGTAAATTGATTGTACTAATAGAGTTCATAGGATATAACATGCTGAAGGCAGTTTTGTGGGGGTAGGGGGATTGTACGCGTGTGTCTGGGGTATATGTGTTTTCAATGCATTAAAATCTTTATACCACCCTCTTATTATCAGGAAGGATATACCTCTTCACAAAGTGGAGAAAATACCAGTTTCTAAGAACTGATCATGTAAATTAGCAACATATTCAAGTTTGCTCCGTCAAAAAATGCCTGAGATCATATACAGGCTTTTGACAAGCTGTTTAAGTTTCGAAAGTAAGGAAACACATGGCCCTCGGCCACCAAATAATAACCCTTTTGAGTAGTTCTAGAAAGCGATTAGCCTTGATGCTGCTTTTCTAATTAACGACACAGCACAACGCTAGACGCATGGCTTCGGTTTGGGTAAGTGCTTTCAAAAACAGTTTTCTGAGTAGTACATCACAACTGTATTTGTTCCCAAGCGCTCTACATGGTCGTCTAAAACCAAACACCTGAATATTTCTTTCACAGGGCCTTTTACACAATACTCTGTTTTATAAATCCAAAGTGAAAATACTACTTTAGTTAGTACCATCATATATACATATATCAACATAAAAAGATAGGGTCAACTGTTTTGATTGAAATGCCAGTAGTCAATCTGAGTAAAATGTACCTAATATATATACATTTTAAAGCGCTCTGGTATAAGTTTTACAAACTCCAGTTTTATGAAAAAGGGGGATTTTTTAATACATTAAAGGAGCATGCATTATCTATATGTCAGACAAGGCAAAGAGCTTCCCCATATCCTCCACGTTCAACATACATGGGCACAATAGCCAAGGCTCTTAGCCTATTTTGGAATTGGAAAAAATACATAATAAATGACTAAGAGTCTACCCCAAATTTTGATATAATTTTGAATTCCTATTTAGGTCTTCACTAAGATTCATTAAAGCAAAGCATAATCCTCTCTAAATCTGGAAAGATGCCTTTGTAAACCTCAATACTCATCAGGAAAAGTTTGCATGAGATGCCACAGTTGCCTTGGGCGACAAAGCCTCAGCGCTCCACCAGCTAAGCCAATATTAATTTTAGATGGAAGGGGGAAAAACCAACAACAACAAAGGAGAAATCTGCTTCTGTCTCCACAGCCAGAGAAATAATATTTTTATTTCAAGGGCTTTGGGCTCATGGGAGCAGATAAAAACTCTTTCACATTATTCACAATGACATTTTAAATAAAGTTTCAGCAGGAATAAAAATCCGAACTTTCTGGTTATTTCTGAGGCTATACAGGTATTTCTATGATCAAGTGCTCTTAAACCAAACCTGTTAGAATAACATAAAGCACATAGAAAGCAACTAAAAAATGTATTACACGGTTACATAAATGAAGCAGGCAGCTGAAAATGGCTATGTAGGAGGTTTCGAAGATTAATCTAAGACGCTATTATGATGGTTAGAAGTGGTTTCGTGATTCTAAAATGGCAAATTCTAAAATTAACCAGTTTTTAGTTTTGATTTGACCAAATACATTTAAGAGCTTTTGAGAGAAGCCAAAGGTTAAAACTGTATTTAGTAGTGTATAGATGTCACCTCTATCATTGTTTTTAGTATCAGAAATAATCTCAAATAAAAGAATTTCCCAATTAAACCAAGCATTACTCTTCATTCTCCTATGAAAACCTCACAACACAGAGAAAGTCCGATCCTTGCTTTGGGACACTCACCAGAAAACCAATGCAAACACAGGCACAGACTCTGAGAACCCTGATGCAACCCCCATGTGGTTGCTCTCTCCTGTCGTCATTTTGCCGACCTGAAGAAATAATCCCTGCTGGCTTCAGATTTAGAATGATTTTCTCAAATGGTGTGTATGCATCAGTATACACCACTGACGCTGCTACCATGCTGTTGTTTCCTTTTGAACTAAACCTATTATCAAAGAAATAAAATATTTAAAATCTCTCTACTAATTCTCTTTGTTGTTAAATTCGCTCATCCTTGTTAAAAATGATGGTACTAGATTATTTAGGTACATCAAACGAAATAGAGAAATTTGAATGAGCGGCCAATGAATCTTTTAAAAACAGGTTCACATGTTTTAATCATTTCTAATTATAAACAGAAGGAAAGCCGCTCCATTAAATGTTAGAACAAAGGGGTCAAAATCTTTACTTAAAATCTACATTATATCTTACACTACTAATGTATGCCTTTTAATTCTTAAAAAGACTAAGAGCTCATTAAAACAACTGATTACTTACACAGGCTTTTCTCTGATTAATACTTGGCAAACTGATTCCATAGTTCTCATTGACAGCAGCTCTGTGGCGGAGGTTTTCAGGATCCTGCATGATTTTTACATCCAACCCTATCTTTCGCTGAAACAAAGAAACAATGAAACTTTCATGCTGGATAAACAAAAATGCTTACTAATATCTTATATCCTCAAAGGAGTATAAAGTTCTTTGAAAAGAATCATTTTAATGTAGTTTTCACTGGGAAGAAAAGACATATTTGGGTCTTTTATTTCTGCTGTTAATTGTTCTTACTTATTCACAGAAAAGGAACCTTCTGCAGATTTCCCTCCATGTATCCTATTGCTCATACAAATACATCCTCAGACAGCATTCATTTTTTCACAAAGAATGGTAGACGCCACCCAAGGTGGGACAAAGGACTAGAATACCTGGTCTCGATTTGTTTTTAGCTTTTTCCAGGTCAAGGATTTTGCCAATGAAATCTATACTACAAACACACAGGTAGAGGGCTCCCTTGGTCTGTTAATGAGGCACTTTCCTCAAGGGACAGACAGTTACAGGTAAATCTCAGTTTGGATTTGGTACATTTACCACAACGAATTTATTTACTCCTTCACAGAGATATTGCTATTTATAGGGAAAAGGCATGCTTTCATTAGAGAGGAAAAAAAAAGCATATCATTTGAAGCACATGTTCCTCATTTCATATAATTCAAATGAGTTACGGCAGAGATGCTTAAATAGTAACCAGCAGTGTAGGCAGCGCAGTGGTGGTGGAAAGGGGCACGAGAGGGGTCCCGAGACTTGGGTTCCAGCCTTGCTCTCCCCTGGACTGCCTGCATGACTTGGGTAAGTCACTTCCCCTCTTTGGAAGCCAGTTTCTTTATTTTCAAAATGTGACAGACTTGATGGTCTCTTGAAGAACTATTCACCCTCCTCAATTCCCGCCCCCCGCCCCGCACCCTCCACCCCTCACACACAACCCTCTCTTGCTTTGGCATTCTATGACTTGATGCTAAAAGGTAAGCTGACACTTAAGAAATATGTTATTACCAACAGTTTCTGAAGTCTTGTGACTTTTTTATTGTGGTACAATTCATATACTATAAAAGTTCCTTTAAAAGTGTGTAATTCAGTGGTTTTTAGCATATTCACAAAGTTGTATAACCATGATCTATCACCCCTCTTTATTATTATTACTAGCAACCCGGTGCATGGATTCGTGCACATTGAAAGGAAGTTAATTAGAAGGTGGCCAGCGGGACGGCACTGGGAGAGATGGGCTGGACACACCCTGGAGACAACCTCCTGCGATCTCTCCCTGGCCAGCCGCACCTGGGGTAGCGCTGTGGCTCGAAGGGCATCTGTGGAGGGAGTGGGATTCCTCTGGCAGGTGGGGTCCCTCGGCCTGGCCTGTGGGGATCGGGCTGAAACCGGCTCTCCAACATCCCTGAGGGGTCACGGAGTGTGAGAGGGCACTCTGCAAAGTTGCTGTCGCACGGGGTGTGGGACACAAATGCAAGGGTGCAGTAAACCAGATTCGGGGCCGATAGTGCCCCAGCAACAACATAACCCACAGCCGAAGGTGGAATCGAAGGGCCCTGTGAGGAATTGGGCTCCCTCCTCTGGTTTTGGGGTGTGTCACCCGAGAACCACTGCTGCCAAGTCACTGCAGCTGGGCAGCTCCGGCATTGAGTGTCTGCCCCCTGGTGTTCAGTGTGCGTCAGAGCTACTGGTCGGACAGATACTTAGCATATTAGCCTTTTATATAGAGAGATTATTTTTTATCCTCACTTAAGAATATGCTTGTTGATTTTAGAGAGCGAGAAGGGGAAGAGAGAAAGAGAGAAACGTCCATCAGTTGCCTCCTATATGCACTCCAACCGGGAATCGAGCCTGCAACCTGGGTCATGTGCCCTGACCGGGAATCAAACTTGCCACCTTTTGGTGTACAGGACGACCCTCCAAACAACTGTGCCAGCCAGCCATGGCAATCAAACCCCTCTTTAATTCTATAACATTTTCATCAGTGAAAAAAGAAACCTCAAACCCATTATCAATCACTCCCCATCTCCTCCCCATCCCAGCCCCTGGCAACTACCAATCTGTTTTCTGCCTCTTCGATGTGTCCCATTCTGCACATTTCATATGAATTGTAAATATGTGGTCTGTAACAGTTTAAAAGGAGGCATTGTAAGGGATTAAAACACCTGATTTCCTTTCAACTGAGTGTCTTTGTTCTGAGGGATCTGATGCAATTGCTAAAATGGTTGTAGGAACCAGATTAGTTCAATGGGCTATGCCTAAGGTGGAAGTGAAGGGGAAGACTGCAAAAATATCGACAGCAGGGGTCCTCAAACTTTTTAAACAGGGGGCCAGTTCACTGTCCCTCAGACCGTTGGAGGGCCGGACTATAGTTTTTAAAAAAAACTATGAACAAATTCCTATGCACACTGCACGTATCTTATTTCGAAGTAAAAAAACAAAACGGGAACAAATACAATATTTGTGTTTGCATGTGGCCCACGGGCCGTAGTTTGAGGACCCCTGATCTACAGAATGTATGCTGTCTAGTTACTTCTTAATACAAGTGCCAAACCTTCCTTTTATTTTTCTAACAGCAGTTTTTAAACCAAATAATTGTACTTAACTGCCCACTTTATTTAACCCATGCAGGGATGCAGGTTGCAAACAAGACCTATCTGTTCCCTTCTCCTTGAAGTACATGTGGTCCCAAAAATAATCTTGTGCCTAACAGCTATCAGGGGGTTTCCCTCTGTGGCTAACCCACACTCACAGCACTATTCCGGGTGTTTGCATGGAAGCAGAGTGTCTCTTTCGTTGAAATTAATACCTGAACATAATTTATTTCTTCTTAATTAAACTTTCAGAATAATTTTCATCCTACAAAGGATCGGGACATTACCAATATGTGTTAGATTGTCTGGATGTGGTTTCTGTAATTAGAGTGTTTTTAAAATGTGTATTCTGGATATAATTGATGGGAATGGCTTCATCTGTCATGTCTTAGCTTTGCTAGAACTTTTTAATTCTGGGATCATTGGCTAGTGGGCCATTGAATTGTCTTAGTTTTATTATGGTCCTTCAACTTTCTGTGGCTATGGGACTGGTGTAAGAAAGAAATGATCAAATACCAAATTATTGTTAAAACTGGCATTAAAATCAATTGTTTTCTGCCCAATTTTACATTTCTGTGGCCCTGGCACAGATAGTTCTGGTAAGAAATCAAAATATAAGCAGAAACTCAAGAGAAATGACAGGTTGCAATATCAATTCTTTATTAGTTGGCTTCTAAAGCCATGGGAAATGTCTTTTAAATTATTAACATTCTAATATTCACTATTTTGGCACCAAAGCATTGTATACCAAAATAATATGCAGCACACATGATTTAATTTTCCTTCAAAAACGTACAAATGAGCCTACATTTAAATAAAATTAACATATCAAATGGTTTCACTGAAGATCACTACCACATACATTCATAATCTGAATTTGTCTTACAATTTTACAAGTTACATCTATAGAGATGTGTAGCAAAATACTTATCAGCATAAGCTGCCTTATCAGACCCAGATTTTCCTAGAAAAACAATTATAGATTCAAACACAAAATTAATCAATCCATTAAGCAGGAAAGCATGTTCTGAAGGTGATCGTTTTTTACCAACAGTAAAATAAGTATCAGAAATAATTTCAGAAATTTTTCTTAAATTGGACAGGAAAAGACACCAATTTACTTAATCTATCTTGAGTCACTAAATAATCCATACTTTATTCTCCCCTTTGATAGTAATTACAAGCAGATATATCAAATGTGACTCTCATTTAGACTTTGGTTTGTAAGAACAAAAGTTATTATCAGAGCCAATTACTGTTTTACCTACATGGCTGCACAGAAGCAGGGAGCTCAATTTTCATCTCATCAGTGATTTTGTGGTATTTATTTTATTACTATGCCCACAAAGCTATATAAGAAAGAAATAGCTTATGCTATTAAAACTAGGGTTTGAGCATAAGAGGCTAAGGTTTCTTTTAGGAGAAGTTCTGAATTAAAAACACTAGGCAGCGTGTAATGCCAGCTCCCCAGACATGGGCAGACCATAAAATGACATACATCTGAGCAGTAGATCCCACACAGAGTAATCAAAATTGAAATGCTTCACAAACAAAGTTGAGACAGGCTATTTTATAGTATTATCAGCATAACATTATTCTCAACAGTGTTTGCTACAAGTAATGCCTTCTAAAGTGTATATTGCTTAATATCATAGTCCCGCTGGTTAAAGACATCCGCTGTTTAATCTCAAAATCAGAAAAAAAAGAGAAAAAGAATCCAGCTTCCTTTAACATTCTGATTCTTTCAACCATTATTATATTTAATGGAAGTACAAAGGACGCCAAGTCTGGTTCAAGCCATATGTTCTAGATTTATTTGTAAAACTGGGTAATAATACCTACCTTCACAGAGCTGTCTGTGAGGTTTAAATCTTGCAAATTATAAAGTACTACTCAGGGGCCAACTTGCAAGGGGCTTCTACTCATCAAATAATAACTGCAATCGATCGAAACACTTCAAATATATAAAAATCCATAAGTTCTTAATAAAATTTCCCCATCTCCCCCAGAAATTTAATAAAATTAAGTTAATCTTAACCTTGATAAATAAAAGAACCAAACATTTATCCTGCTTTTCCTGAAAATCTATATTTAAGATCACCAAAGAGTTATAACGGAAAGTTCTTCATAGAAACTAATAAATGCAGAAGGAAAGATATAATAGTAAAATCACCCCTTTGCAATCCCTAATGAAATAATGTATTTGGGTAAATGTCAATGGTTGCTCATACCATTAAGGCGAAATGTGGAAGAGAACCTTTATAAAGCAGGGGTGGGGAACCTCCAGTCTGCGGGCCACATAAGGCCCTCGAAATCATCTAGTCTGGCCCTGCCAAGGCATTAGGGATGAGTTAGTTAAATGTTTTGACGAAATATAGCAGGCTAATATTTAAGTTGATAATTTTGTATGGCCCTCGAATGATGTTATAATTATCCAAATGGCCCTCGGCAGAAAAAAGGTTCCCCACCCCTGTTATAAAG